TGCCTCCTGTCGATATTCTCCATCCTTCCAGCTGCCTGAAGCTTACAGCCTTGCCATGCTAATGGTTCTGCTGGCTGCTCTGTGTTTTGGCCTTTGGTTTTTCTTCAGTAAATTCAACTGTTTTTTTTAATCCTCTTGTGACAATAAGTCCCATAGTCTGAGCATGGATTGAAGGCCACTTTTTTTCCTCATATTTAAAGGATGCATAACGACTACCTCTTGTGGTGTCTGCTGGTAGTATGAGCCTAATGGGGCTCTTCTTCCCATTTCCCAGTGTGTATTTGTTCATCTTACCTCCAAAGATGGGAGGAAGAACCTGTTGCTTGATGCTGTTTGCTTGTTTCTTCCACTTCTCTGAACCCTGCTGGCCAGGTTAAAGTCCTGATTGAAGAAAGATACTTGATTTTTTTGATATTGTATGGTATGTGTAATTTGCAAGACACACGTGTTGTGCCTCACGGCAAAATATTTTTGCTAAACTCTTGTATAATTGCACGTTCTTGTTGCCAAGTGACGTGGCAGTTTGTATCTTTTGATAATGCACTTTCCTCTATGTGAGAACGCTGCTGGTTTCTCTGGTGTTACCAGGTGAGCTCTCATGACTCTGGGAGTGCTGTGTAAGTGTTTGGAGATGTGCCTTCCCTGGTGGGATGCAGAGTTGGTCTGGGTGGCTGAACGCTTTATTCTGCCAAGGCCAGAAGGAAAGACCTTTTGGATAGGGATACTTGCATTGCAGAATGGTGGCATTTGGCTTTCTGTGCCCGCAGGGACGAGCTTGTCCTTTTGGCTGGCTCTCAGCTGGTGTTGCCCTGCCCCTTCCTGCAGCCTGTCCCCTGCCAGCCCTTTCCAAGGGAGCTGGGAGCCCGTTACCTGCAGAGGCTCTGATTCAAGCAAGCATGTAAGCACATGCTTGAATCCCATTGACGTCAGTGAGACTTCAGCATGTTAATAAAGTTAAACAGACGCTTAAGGGGTTTGCTGAAGTGTGGCTTAGATGCAGACGCTGTCTGCCAGATGTGCTCTCGGAAGACTTGGATGTCTCCCTGGTGTTGTCACATTTACAAGCTAATATCAGCAGGAAGCCTACTGGACATGTGTAACGCGTCCTTCTGTATTCAGAGGGAAGGCACTGCAGGGAGAAGTGATGGGAAATACCCAACTGCTGTGTAAATGCTGCCAGATCCTTGCTGCACGCAGGCAGCTTTGCTGAAAGGAGGACTCGTGGGGGCATAAATAAATCCTGCACCTTTACAGCTGACCTCACAATGTGCAAAATATGTATGACCTGTGTTGCTGTTTGAACCCTGGCTTGTTTTGGGAAAAAAATTACAGCTGTCTTTTAACCCCTTGTGCTTGGAACTGGTTAAGAGGCTTTTAAAGAAAGGTTTTGTTTCGTGCACTTGCTTCATACCTGCAACTTAATGTGCATGGTAAACTCTGCAACCAGGATGTGGAGCTGAAACCCAGATAGAATTACTCATTGAAATTTTTACCTACTCGAAACTGTTTGGAGTGTACAGTAGTATATTTAAGATCAAAGTGTGACCTTAGGTGGATACTAAATATTATTGTTTTCTTATCCAGTAGGATACCAGGAAGATTTAAGGTTAAGAAATTATTATTTTTTTCAGTGACCTGCAAAGTATATGCAAGTTTTTCTTTATGAGAGTGTGTGAAAACATTTACTAACAGTAATTGTAATTGTTGCAAAGCAAAATCCCAAATGCCCTGTGTCCAAATAGGTATAGATAGTGAAGTTTTTTAGCTGAAGTGACTTGCTCGTGAATGTTGTTAAATTGTGTATATGCAAGTTTTTCTTTCTGAGAGTGTGTGAAAGCATTTACTAACACTAACTGTAATTATTGCAAAGCAAAATCCAAATGCCCTGTGTCCAAATAGTTAGTGAATAGATAGTGAACTTTTTTAGCTAAAGTGACTTGCTCGTGAATGTTGTTAAATTGATTCCAAGATATGTGGGCTCTCTGTAAATCCACTGCATTGTTTGTGGAAAGCTTTATGGTAGCAGTGTTTCAGCACTGGGAAAGCCGACGTCAAAAGCCGTCGTGCCAAGAAGTGAATTCCTTTAAAGGGAGACCTCCTGGGAGCTCCTGACTTCATCCACTCCAGCAATTCAATGCTGTGGTACCAGAGCATGGCGTTACGGCATTAGGTTTCCCTTAAGTACTTGAGTGTTTCTCTCCTTTCCCAACAAAATCATATAGTGCTTCCTTATGAACTAGTACTAGCTTCTGTGGAAAAATATTAACTTTCATTCTTCTCATGTGTGAAATTGAAGAGAAATTAGCAAAGAAATAGCTGGAAGAGGGAAAACTTGCTGGAAGAGGGAAAACAAGCGTTCTGTTCTGCTTGGTTACTTATTTACAGATCTTTCAGGATGAAATTTTTTTAATATTGACCATGTTGTGGATTGCCATTCTTCTTGGAATACGTTTTAGTGTTATAATTAAATGCTGAGAAGGGGCTGAAGTAGTCGGAGCAGTTTGACAGCTTTTCTTCTGGAAACAGGACACTGATACAGAAGCAGTCAAGGTCTCAGGTCTGCTTCACCATCCTCCCTGTACCTTGTGTAAAGTATCTGAGGTCATTTTCACTGTTGGGTTTGCTTTAGAGGATGCCAAGAGCCAAGTGGATGAGTATTGTTATTTCCTGGATGTGCAACTATCTTCTGACCATTCCTGTTTCAGGGATGTAGCTGTCAGTATGAGTAAAATATTAATGGTGGTGGTGTGGCTGTGATACTAAAGACTGTGGGTGAAGCAGGCTTTGTAGATGGAGATGATCTCTTCTGGTCACTATTCACGGCTGCTATCTTAAAATCAATTAAACCTTTCTGGAAGGCATTTTGTAGTCCGGGAAGGGAGGCATTCTTGTCCTAGTAGGGACTGAGATAAACTTCCAAATACTCCCAGTTCATGCATTATCCACAGTAGTTACTTAGAAATAATGAAAGTTCACCTTCTTTTGAGGCTTTGATAGAGCTGCATCTAGCTGTGGTTTGCTTTAGTCAAATAGAAATCCCTGAGTTTGATACCATGACAGTGTCTGGAAGAGGGAAACAAGGAAAATCCAGGAGCTGTGGCTTCAGCCAAAGCGATGAGAGACCTGTGGTTTGATTTATTTGCTTTTTTTGTGGATTGCCTGGGAAGGGTTTCCTAGTGCTGGTTGCAAAGTATCAACTTCAGACAACCCCAGGTAGTTCAACTTATGATGAGTTAGAGAAGAGGTGCAAGGTCTTTGAGCATCCCACACAATCAGGAAAGAGGAGGTGCCTTGAAAGGCTGCATTAATGCTCCTGGGCTCAGAGTTAGGGACTGCCTGGGGCTAGCTGGGAAATCCTAAGCCTGAGAATTTGTGAATGCTTCTTTCTTCTTTGAGTTGAGGTGTTGGATTTAGTTCTGCCCAGTGGGCCATCTTTCTCCACTCAGGATTTACCCTCTGTTGAAAGTAAGCTCAGAGAAGAGGGGAGTGAGAAAAGATGAGTAAGGGCATCCTCCATCTTTTGTACTGAAACAAGAAGATGGGGAGCAAAGAGTGTGTGATTTGTGGCCAGGAAGAGTGAAACCAAGGGGAAGCTTGATTTTGTTGCCTGGCAATTAGCACAGACACTTGAAAGAAGAAAACCTGCCTTCCCATCCTGTTTTGCAAAGAGTGTGTGATTTGTGGTCAGGAAGAGTGAAACCAAGGGGAAGCTTGATTTTGTTGCCTGGCAATTAGCACAGACACTTGAAAGAAGAAAACCTGCCTTCCCATCCTGTTTTTTTATCCGATTACTGCAGAATGTAAAATGAACCAAACTCTCATGGGAGGAGAGACCAGAATCGGGTCTCTCCTCTCTTTCAGCTGGCTGGGGAAAGCTGGATCTTCCCCACTGGGGAAGAGTGTGAAAGTTGTGGATTTGCCTTCCCTCAGGCAAAGAATGGAATCTAATTTGGGATCTCCCTTGTCTTGTGTGACTGCTTTACAGTGTGAGCTAGTTGCAAAGGGTGGATGCTACCACTGTTTCCACTTGTTCTTCCTCCCATGTTTTACAGCGATCCCAGTGCTGCCTTAATGGGTTAGATGTGCTGAGGACACAGCTGCCTGGTCAGGGACACCATGAAGCCTGTTTGTGTCTGTAGCCTGGTACGATTACAGCGTAGTTTAGCTGGGAAATGGCAGGACACATCTGTGTAGGCATGGGTGTCTCAGCTTGGGCACCCAAGCACTCGGCAGGTGAGATGCGTATTGAAAGGTGCAGCAGTGTCATTCATTGTAAGGTTTAAGGAGAAAAATCTTGCATTAAGTCTAAGCTGGTGGGTCTGGGTTCTCCGACAGTGGCTGGAGAGCTGTTGCCCTCTTGCTTCTCCTAGGATGGGGGTGCCTATCTGTCTTTGGTGACAGATGACTGTCAAACTAGCCACAACTTTGTCACTTCTTACCACTGCCTGCAACAGTGATGTCACTGCATGTGAAAGACATGAATTCTCAGAGTCAATTGCCTCTTGATCTGTAGCCTGGTATGATTACAGCATAGTTTAGCTGGGAAATGGCAGGACGCATCTGTGTAGGCATGGGTGTCTCAGCTTGGGCACCCAAGCACTCGGCAGGTGAGATGCGTATTGAAAGGTGCAGCAGTGTCATTCATTGTAAGGTTTAAGGAGAAAAATCTTGTATAAAGTCTAAGCCGGTGGGTCTGGGTTCTCCAACAGTGGTTGGAGAGCTGTTGCCCTCTTGCTTCTTCTAGGATGGGGGTTCCTATCTGTCTTTGGTGACAGATGATTGTCAAACTAGCCACAACTTTGTCACTTCTTACCACTGCCTGCAACAGTGATGTCACTGCATGTGAAAGACATGAATTCTCAGAGTCAATTGCCTCTTGATAAAGCCTCCTGTGGATCTGCTAATGAGCATCCCCAAGCAGTTCCTGGCAGTCACACTGGTGGTTTTGGCTGTGATGTGTGACCTCATTAACATAAGGTTTTGCTCTGCTTCCATCGCAGGTCGTCAGAGCTGCTGAAGAAGCTGCTTCTACCCTGGCGAGTTCCATCCACCCTGAGCAATGCATCAAGGTGCTTTGCCCCATCATTCAGACTGCAGATTATCCAATTAATTTAGCTGCCATCAAAATGCAGACGAAAGTCATCGAGAGGATTTCCAAGGAATCGTTGCATCAGCTCCTTCCCGATATCATTCCTGGGTTGTTACAGGTACAGAATCCCATGTCACGAATGACACAATGAGCACAAACCACCATCGAGTAATTTGTGAGGTCTGCGATCTAAGGGAATGGGGGACTCTCTGGGGCCAGATTTCAGTAAATTAAGGCTTTAATCCCCCTAAGCTTTTTTTATAATTTAGCTTTTGATGTTTTAATGTATTAAGGAAAAGAAAAATCATATTCCTATGTTTTTACATTTAGACACCTTGGCCTGACTCCTAAATAAGCCAGTAGCAGCCGTGTAAGAAATGTATTGGAAGTAGGAGTTAGCAGCAAGCAGCATCTTATGCTGTCTCAGTACCTCCCAAGCAATGCATCTTGTAGTCTCCTTTAATTCTGCTGAGCTGTTCTGCGCTTTGAATTGTACTTTGCGCTTGAATTTGAATCCCTGCGAGCAGACTAGTCCTTTCCTCTCTGAAATCAGGACCAAGCTGCTTTCTGACTTCATTCAGCCTCTTTCAGAACTCTCTCAGGCTGGGTGGGGAGCTGTGTTTTTGCCTGTGCTCAGGCTTGCTCTTACATTGTGAATGTAGCTTTCAGCACTGGCCATAGCGATGTTGTCTTGTGTTCCCCTGCACAGAGAGCTGGCAGGAGCCTGCGAGCAAGAAGGAAATAAAGGGGAGGTATTCGTGTTAGGGAGGAGAGAGAGCGTGTGTGTTTACTGGGGAGGGGATTGTGACAGGAACGAATCAATGTGAAAGGGGAGACATGTTTGTGTGCGTAAGGCTTCAGTGGGGAACTGGGATAGAGAAGCCTCTTCATTATGATCATAAAAAGCTGAAGGACAAGAGTAAAGTCAGAAATTCCCCTTGCGCATCCCAGCTTTTGTCCCAACTTTTTCTTTTGCCATTCTTTTCTTAAATCTCAACCTCTGGGAATCGGGCAATTCTGTATTGATTTAAACTTCTGTTGTAAAAATTTTTAGCCATAATTGTTGGCAACAACAATCTGGACAGTGTAGCCTCAATGCACCAGGAAAGTTTGGGAGCAGCATGCCTTTAAAAACACAGTTACACTTGTTTTATGAAATTGCTTCCATGTCTCAAAATTGATCTTGTTTCAGAGCCTAGCTTGCATTTTTTCATCTTGGAGCTGCAAGTGATATTTCCTCACTTTAGAAACTCATAGTGATAGAACAAATCTACTTGTGTTTGAGAAATATTTTGTGATCCTTCTGGCTTGGAGGACTGTGTAGGGAGGAAATCACCCATGTGCTTGGTTATCATGCCAAGGGGACTGGTAGAGCGTTGAGGAGTTGAGGAGTGTTGGTGGCAGCACGAGCACAAGTGTGCACAGTTCAGCAGCCTGGGGTCCATGTGAGCAGATGAGGGTGTCTGTGCAAGAACAGGGTTTGGCTGGGGTGAGTTGTGCCACTTGCCCTGGTCCTCTGGCTCCCTAGAAGTCAGGTGGGAATGGAGCTGGGCTGTGGGATGCTCTCCCACATGCCGCATCTCGATACCCTCAGGCTGAAGAGAGCTTTGAACCTGTGTCATCTCCCAAGAGAATGCTCTCTTGAGCATTTTATTTGATTTATTAAATGTAGGAGGCAACTGCTACCCTTGTGAGCAAGTTGGTGGATGGAGAGGTAGGGGGATGGTCCAGCTGGTGCATGTGAGAAAGGCTCTCCCAGCCCAACACCTGCCGAGATGCAGCCCCCTCAGGCCTCAACACCACATGGACCTGCAGGCCCCAACAAGAGCAATTTGGGATGCACACCTAAGCAAAATGCCAGGCCCGTAGGGAAACTTGTGGTCAGGCAGAGGCATCTGATGAGTTCAGGAGCCTTTGGGTTGGGACCCACAGAGCCCTGTGTCCCAGCTGTCTTCCCAGCAGCGGGTTGTGTCTCTGGGTGGTGTTCTGCTGTGGGCCCGTGCTCAGCCTTTTTCCCGCTTCAGTCCTCAACAGCTTGATGTTCCTCTGAGCTCACCTAGGTCTCCTGCTGTTCTAGTTCAGCGCTCTTTGGGATAGCAGCCTGTATTTTGGCCCTGCAGCTAGGATCTCAGCCCTGCTCCTGGGCAGCCCGGCAGCCCCAGCTGTGCCACGTCCCTCCTCCCGGCTTTCCCGGCAGAGGTCACCCTGCGTCCGGATGAGCCAGCGTCCCGCAGGCTGGAGCGATGTCTGCGGTCCTCATGGGGTGGCTGCTCAGTGCACAGGGCTGATATCACCAGCTGCTGAGTGACCTGGTGCCTAGCTTGAGCTCTCCTGATGCTTCCAGAGATCCAGCACACCTACATGGCTCTTTCAACATGTTCTTTTTTGTAATATTTCCTACCTGATAGGTAATCAAAACGCTCCAGGTCACAGAGGCAGTTCATCTAAGACTAACATGTGTTAGTCATTGTGGATGTTAAATATAGTGTTAAATTCATCTCCGTCTGTAACTTTGCTCTCAGGAGCAGAATTGGTTTCCTTTGTGTTAGATGTGGGTCAGAAGAGACTTTTTTGAAGGCAAGATGGGGAGCTCCCCTCCAAGAAGTCCTGACCATCCAGGGTAACATATCCTCTGAACCGGACACAGGAGTGTGTATATTTGATAATGTCCTAAGCTTATGGTGGGAAACTGTATGTTGTTGCTTAATGCTATAGATAACAAGATATTAATAACATGATAGTAATAACTAATAACATAAGGAACAAATAGAATGTATTGGGTGATTGTATTCTGTTGATCAGGCTGCAAACTGTTACATTGAGCAAGGACTTTCTCTTGATCTGTTAGGTCAACCACATTTCCAAAATGTTCATCAGCTCTTGAGTGTCTTGCTCTGGAAGGACGTCAGCAAGTACTGTTTGATTTCTGACCTTTTTGGTTTTTTTCTTGTTTTCCAGGGTTATGACAATACGGAAAGCAGCGTCCGTAAAGCTAGCGTGTTCTGCCTAGTAGCAATTTATTCAGTAATTGGAGAAGAACTGAAACCTCATCTCGCACAACTCACAGGAAGCAAGGTACAGGAGCAATGTGTGTCTGGTGTTTTCATAACAGCCAGTGGAATGGCTTGCACTGCTGGCAGCAGGGCCAGTGGCTTCTTGGTAGCTCTGGGTCAAGTTCCCTGTACTCTGTGAAGTCCTATCTCACGCTGTCAAACACTGCTGGAACAGCACAGCACTGGCTCATCAGTGTGATCATTTGAAATCCCACTAAGCGAGTTTTGATGGGGTTCAGGGATCGATGTCCCCCTTCAAAGGGCTTTGTGGCCTGGAGTCAGATTAGCAGCAAAACTCAGATTCTGACCTGATGCTGCAAGTGAAACCAAGTCCTAGCTCAGCTCTGTCCTTCAGCCGAGAGCTGGTGTTTTGCGTTGAGGTGGGCAGAGTTTGATTACTTTTCAGAGCGTCTCGGGAAGTTGTCACAAGATTTCTTCTGTTGTTTGAAGTCCTCATATGCAAGATTTCTCTGAAATTTTAAGATGAGTTCTACGTTTTTTTTCTGAAATAGATCTCAGCATGTGAATAGCTACTTAGTTCAGAGGAGTTTGTTCTGTTATTTTTAAGCAACAATTTCTTTCATGAGTAAGAAGTGTGGTCTAGACCAAAACAACCTGAGACTGAGGGCACTTGGCTTTTATTTCTGAATTGAGTTGCCTTGTCCTTAAACAAATTACTTGTGCCTCCAAATTGCTCTGTAAAGAGACAGCTATGGGTGCTGAGGTTTACCTCATTATATTTGGGTAGTTAGGAAATTCCCCTATAAAATATTGTGGAGACTTTATTATCCCAGAATCGTAGGTGCCACGGATGTACTCCGCCACATAATTAACTATAAACATGTGAGTAATTCTTCTGGGTTTACGCAGGCTGCCTGCATGTTTAAAGTTGAACGTGTGCATGAGTCACTGCAGGATCTGGAGCTAAGGTGGTGAGGCAGAAAAGCAAAACAAACCCATGCAAAGGAAGTGTATAATCATAACAGCTGCAGTTTCAGTAGGTGTACCAAGTTAAGGATGATATTTAAATGTCATTGAAAAAGAACTTTTTTTAATAAAGCACGGAGTGTTCAGGGTGTTTCCAAGGAGGGGCTGTGGCTCTCAGGTTGCTGATGTGCCTGCAGTTCCACTGACCTCTGTGGGAATCCCACTTGCCCACATCAGGCTGCAGGACTGAGGGCTGTGAACTGATGGTGGCTGAAGTGAAATGCAAGAGGTTTTTCTAAATCCCATTAAACCTGTCTGTAACTCCAGTGGGAGTAGGCATACCCTCCTCTTTCTCTCTGTTCTGAAAGAGGCTCAGCTTTCCCTCTGCTTTTGCTCCAGAGAGCCCAGTGTGAGCTCACTCACAACTGAGTTCACTGCAGAACGCGAGTTTCAAGAGTTGCAGTTGACTTTTGTCTGCTTGTTTTTCCTGGCATCTTCTCCTCATGTTTGTTTGTTTCTTTCAGATGAAGCTACTAAACTTGTACATAAAGAGGGCCCAGACCACCAACAGCAACAGCAGTTCCTCTTCAGATGTTTCAACGCACAGTTAATGGAGATATGTGGACATATGTGTAGACTTAGAAGCAATCAACGGTGCCTCTCAGAGACCTTTCTGCTACTCTTCACTGGCGCGCTCCATCAGCTCAAGGAGGCCATGCAGATATTTATTGCAATCAGTATTTTAGTCCCTTAAAAGCTTTTATGTAGAATCTTACTGGTATTGAATGTAAAGGAAGCAAGGTCTGTGTTGCAGTCTTCATTAAAAGTGAACAACAGAAAGCCATACTTAAACATATTTGTATAGCCTGCTGAAATCTCGAAAATATGTTTAGGTTAGTGTTCCAAAACTGAGTCCAAGAACCTGGACACGCGTAAAGATCAAACAAATCTTGTTGGTTTTGTTCATACCCAGTTCTGGTTTCTGTGTGCTAGTTACCTGCTCGCTCCCCGTGGCTGCAGCCATTCTGGCTGGGTTCCCCTCTCCTTACGAGTCTTGTGGTCCTGCTCTGTACTCCCTGTTGCAGCTTGCCTGATGTGCAGGGCTCTCCGTGAGGAGATCTTTGCCAATGTGGCCGATTCCAGCCTCGGATGCTTTAATACTGGGAGGTATCAAGTGAGTAATGAAAAAGTAGGTTCTTAAACATCTGAATTTTTGTACATAGTTGTTCTGACAGACCTCCGACGGGCTGATTTCTCTCTAACTGCTCTCCAGCCAGCTGTGCTGTGCAAAACAGCTAGGCTCTTCCTCCTTTCGTTGACTGTGTAAATATTTCTCCCCTCCCGACCCCTTCAGCTCTTTCATATGCTCAAAAAAGACTCTCCAGGCTACTTGTTATTCCCCAAAGGGAACCTGAGACCTAATTCTGGGACCCGATGTTTGTGATGGGACACTGGATGTAGGTGGGTGGGTGTTGGAATAGGCTCTGAGTGTGTCCATGGGTGGGCAGTGGGAGCTGCAGGGCTGTGTCTCAGCACTGCCCTGTGAGGCTGCCTGCACTTTTCTTGAAGTCTGTAGCATCAAAGGGCTGCTCCGACCCGACCCACTGCTGTTGGGTGGTGAATGGCTTTGTCCCCCCCCAATTCCTTTTGTGCTTTGGGCAAAATGTTAATCCCAGAGGACAGAAAGGGCATCTGGAACTGAACGAAAAGACCCCATGGAAGCACCTGCTGAGCCAGTGGGACAGTGCTGGTTGCCTGCCACAGCTCTCCTCCTGCGCCTGACTAGTGCTGTTAGCTGCCTCTAGAAACCTCCTCCTTCCTGGCCAGCCCCACGCACAGCCCCAGCCCCACGCACAGCCCTCCTGGGCCCTCTGCACTTCGGGGGGGTGCGGGGGGCCCTTGCTGGGCCCTGCTGTCAGCAGGGTGCTCTGGCTGAGGCTGCGGTGGGGGCAAATCCTTTTGCAGCCTGACGACACAGACCAAGTCAGAGCCAAACCACCAGCAGTCAGATACCCCACAAAACCACCCTTCCCCAAGGGGAGACCCCTCTGTTTGCCAAGGGTGAGCTCCCCCTGCCTCTGACTGTAAGCAGGGGAAGCAGGAGGATGCTAGAGCTGTGTTTGGCCCTGGGCTGGATCCCAGCTGTTGGGCATGCCCACCCCAAACCTGCAATGAGTCAGAACTGGCTTTTTGTCCCCAGTGCCAGTGAAGCAAGAGGATGGTTGACCTGCAGCTTATGGCTGTAGCTGTGGTGATGGATGTGTGTTCCCTGGCTGCTCTCAGTGTCTCCAGCCCCCTCCATTTCCCCTTTGGGGAGCTGAAGGGACACCTTGGTAGCATATTGAGAACATGAGAGCTTCCAGTAGCACAGCAGGGGAGTGCGGTGGGGGAGGATAAAGCCTTGTTGTCCTCTTTCTCCATCAGTTCCTCCCCATGTGTCTCAGCCCCAGCCCTGAGGAGCTATGCTGGGAGGTGATGCTTGGTGCCAGCTCCCCACCCTGTCCCCGGCTCCGGAGGTGCTGGGGCTGGTGGGGACTGTGCAAAGCTTGTCAGTCCCTTTCCCTGCTGTCTTTCTTGAGAGTGGAGGAGATGACCTGCTCCTGAGTTTTTCAGGATGTGTCCAGGTTTTTACTGGCTGCAGGGCTGGTTCCCTCATCTTTCCCAACAAGTAATGCCACAGCAGGAGAAACCATGCGATCCTGGTGGATGGAATTCCCCCGGGGTCTTTCTGCAGGCTCAGAAAAGCCATCCTCGGGAGGAGGAGGAGGAGGATTGGCTGCTCCATGGTGGCGTCTCCCTTTCTGTGGACCATTTCTTTTCAACATCTTTCAGTATGCTTGTTAGAATATTCCGTTTTAATTTTTTTGAATGATACAAATTATTTCAGTTTAACATGAATTTATTTTCCCTTTTGAGGAAACATTCAGCCGACTTGTTGGCAGCAGTTAGCTGTCTTGTCTGAATTTTTAGTAGCGGGTTTGGTTTTTTGTTCTTTTTTTTTTTTTTTTTTTTTTTAAATTTGTGCTCTAACCACTTAGTATTTATGCCTCTGTTTCTCCCCATCTCAGTTCATCATCTTCTGTTCCAGTTCTGGGGTTGAGAAGGTCAGCACAGCTGACCAGACGGTGATGGAGCTCTGATGGAGCTTGGTCCATCACCGTTTGCTGTTTGTTTGTTTATTTTTTTATTTTTTTTTTTGTCTTGAATGGCACACTGTAGCAAATCTCCAGGAATTGAATTCCTTCTCAAATGATTTTATATATTTTATAAAATCCTGTTAGTATGCACTGAGAGTGAACGCACTGTAACGTCCCTGAACTGACCCTGGCGCGCTGACCCTGCGGTGGGAGTTAACAGCTCCTCCTCCCCGAGGCCCTGCCGCCCACCGGCGCTTCCCCACGCTGTTGGCACACTCGGAGCTGCAAATGGTAGAACCAGGCCTTACTTTCTGAATCAGATTTGGTTCTGTTTGTCAACAGATGCTCATTAATGTGCTACTTAATTTTGTTACGTGAGTCAGTCCAGGACTGTTCATCCTTTGAGTACTCTAGAAGTATGTTATACCTGTATACAGTAGGGAGCATTCTGCTTAGGTATTTATAAATCATTGCGTATAATGTACATAGTAAGGTTGTTTAGTATGTTGAACATGACCCCACTTCTTTTTTTTTTTTTTTTTGTGTGTGTGTGTGTGTTTCCTTTGAAGTACTCAAAGGGCTAGCTCTGAATGTCACCTCTCTGATCTCCAGTGTTCTGACTTCAACAAGCTGTACAATCGTTTTTGTTTTCTCTTCAGCAAGCATAAAGGTCTCTCTGGCTACAAACCCCAGTGTCCACACACGCTTGCAGAGAAGGATCTGCATGCTGGCAGTGCCTCACCGCACCGGTGAAGCTCGTGTTCACGTTCTCCCAGCAGTAGCCACCTACTGCAGCTGCCTTTTTTTTGTTTTTTCTTGCTGCCCATTATGCGGGGCTTCGATTTTTCGTACCTTTCAAAAAAAAAAAAAAAAGAGGAAAAAAAAAAAAAAAAAAAAAAAAAAAAAAAGAATTTTTTTTTCCCCCCCTGTTTTAAAAAGTTCAACGAGGAAAAAAAGAAAAGAAAAAAAAAAAGAAAAAAGTGATTTTCTTTGCCCACCATGCTTTAAAAGTCTGAATGGGAGAAAACTCTCAGCAGACAGCGGCTCCTGGCTGCAAGGTTGCCGAAATCTCAGATGTGGATGTTTTTTCTGCCATTGGCTGCACCAGTGCTCCGTGGGCATGGGCAAATACCGGATCCATCCGCCCCACAGGTCTACGTACTGTAGTTCTCATGTAGTGCAGAAATATCGAGGCATGTGGCTTTCTTAAGGTACACTATGTGTGCTTGCCTGGATTACAATACAATACGAGACTGTCTTTTTTATTGCTTATTACTAGCTTAACAATACCCTGTATAAGTAATGTAACTCGCATCTTTGTCATCAAAAAAAACCTTTTCTCCCCACCCCTTTATTTATCAAGCATAATATTACATATTAAGGGACAGAAAAATAGACCTTTGTAGTATACAGCAGGACGTTGCTAACAATGTTTTAAATGGGAAGTAAAAACCGCTCTGAAAAATGCCAGCCATGAGAAATGACTTTGTTGGCACCGTGTTCATGCGCATGTATTTTTTCTATTTTTTCCGCTTTTGTCATGTTACATCCATATCTGTATTTATATCTTATTTGTTTCACTTTTGAGTGTATCATGGCAATTGTACAGATGTTTTTGTTAACATTTACGTGATAGAATTTGCTAAAAAAAAAAAATTAAAATAAAACCTTTTGAGTTTGCCCTAGAATAAGTGGAAGTTGGGTTTCTTTTGGGGGGAGAAATATTAAAGTGTGTTCATTTTCCAACACAGCTCCTCAGTCCGGCAGCCTTTGCTTGTAAAGAATTTGCTCTTATTCCTGCCTTGGCTGCTGTGTTTTCATGTATTAATTAGAGGGTACGTGGTGGGCTGACTGTTCCCTTCTGGCACCAGTCTGTGAGTGGCAGTGGGGCCAGCGGGCAGCTGATCTTTTGAGGTCCTGGTCTTTTGCTGTCAGCTTTTGAAAGCTTTTGAGAAGTCATGGTTTAGGGGATGCTTGTGATGGTACAAACTGGAAGGCCGTGTGCTGTTTCAAAGCTGATGATTTCGTGCGAAGTCACATAACTCAGGAAGCAAGGGCTTCAAAAGATGCCTGTGTTACGAGGCTCATTAAGAAAATTGCAGAATTCTTAAAATATGTGGCAGTAGAGATGTTTGCGATTAAGTGTTTGGGGAGGAGAAGGGCTGCTGGGAACTGCACAGGTCTTTGTTCTGGGTACCAAAAGACAAAGAACTTGAATTTGAAGTGGCTGGGGAGCAGGTGTGCTCCAGTGCTTATGCGTTCCCTGGGGGAATCACAGCTCATCACAATTTTAAAAAGCCTGTAGTGAAGCTGTGTTCTACACCAGGGAAACGTCCCCCAAGGTATGACTCTTACCTTGATGTTGTTCCTTTAGCATCAAAGTAAAAGGTCCTCAAATACCTCGTGGTGAGTGTGAGGGAGTCAGGAGAGCACAGGAGGTGGACATTTCCTACGGGAGGCTTTTGGTGTGAATATTCCCAGACAGAGTGCATGGAGAGTGTTGTGGTGTGTGAGCACCAGCTATCAGGACTTAGTGGTTCTGATGGCCATGCTGGGTAAGGCACTGAACTATCCTCTCTCCTGCCAGCCCAGGGACCCTTCTGCATCAAGATTTGGAGGCCCAGCTGGGAGTGAGGAGCAGTGGTAGCTTTCCCTGCTGCAGATGGACCATCTCACCCCTGTGGTGGCAGGGTCCTTTTTGGCTCAGCCGCATGCTAGAGCAGTACAAGGGAAGGTCCACCCTTGCCCAGTGGCCCTGGCTTCTTCCCAGAGCGCTTCCCACGTGTTTTGTTTCTTGAGCAGTACCAGGTACCTGTGGTGATAAGAAAGAGAAGAGAGAATGAATAGAGCGCTATCTCCTTTGTGCCTTGTAAAACTCCAGATGCTGGCCCAAATTACCCTTTGCAGCTGATGGAGCTGCAGCTGCTGGCGCATCACCAACCATTGCCAGATGCACAGAGCTCCTCTCGGAGAAGTTGTCTTCTCCCAGCAATGGCTCATGCTTCCAGGCACTCACTACCCAGGTCTGATCTTCTACTAATCACTTTGGAAAATGCACAAATACACAAAAATCTTGGTGCCAAGACTTGCACCGCCGGGAGTGCCAACACAGGCCATCCTTTGCTGCCGGAGCAGCACAGCAGAAGGCAAGAGCCTTGTGGGATGCAACCGTAGCAAGTGAAAAGCTCGACAGGAGCATCCCAGAGCGGTTACTGCAAATGAAATACAGGAGCAGAAGAAAATAATCCTCTTGCCCTGCCTCCTGGCTCCTTCTGTGCTGCATTTTGGCGTGTCCTTTAGGGCTGAGACTGCAGCGCGTTGACAAGGGGGTGTTTGTTTATTGAACCACCTCAAAGTATCTGTCCCTTGTAGCTCCTTTGTCATGAAGTCCCCTGTTGTCCTAAGCCACATGATTGCTTCACAGACGGAGAATGAGGAATGGCTGTAATTGCTGGCTGAGACGGTTTTGCTGGGCTCTCCCCTCTGGTGGAGGACCAGAGTTGCTGCCAGCAATTAAAGGTAGTTAGCAGATTCCTGGCAAGCTCCAATGCTCGTTCTGAGCACTTGCAGCCCATTTTCAATTCATTTCTCTGTCCTGGAGGGTCTGAAATGCTGTGGATTTCTTTGCAGCCCAACACTTTGCCTTCCCCAATCTCAAATGATTTGGTGACTCCTTCCCTCCCACCGAGGGATGCGCCGAGGAGAGGGGTGGCTCAGTGGGTGTCAGCAGAGTTGCACTCCTGGACCAAGTGCCTTATCTTAATTTGCTCCAGTTTAAGATGTTTTGGCTTAAAACCCCTGAGAAAGTGCAGCTCAGTTGATCAGTGGTAACTTGTTAAGTTAAATAATTCCACAGCTTCTGATTGTGCAACCCAATTACTTGCTTGTGCAACCCTCGTTTACCCTCCCCGAGCAAATATCGCACACCCCTCTCTTCCCTTTACCAACCCAACACATTTTTCCTGCTTTGCCTTCTCATACACATCCACGAAGCACAGAAAGGGCCTTCCCTGGGCGAGCGCGCCCCAGCCCCGGCAGGAGCCTGCTGGGAGGAGGCTCCGCATAGAAACGCATGTAATACTGACCTCGGGGAGGAGAGGACAGACCATAAATCTCCATCCCCTGCTGGGATGGGGGGAAAAAAATGTCATGCAAGGCTTTTGGGAAGCTATTGGGGCAACACGGGCATGGAAGTCACTCCAAGCATCAGGCTGGGATGGAGGGGGTTTCTTGCCAGCAGAGACTGGGTGGTTGTGTGTTTGTTTAGGTCTGGAGAAAGACTATCACTCGTTGTGATGCCCAGTCACAGGTCCATTTGTGAGTAGGGGCTGGTCTTTTCTCAGTGGCGCCCAGTGACAGGACAAGAGGAAATGGGTACAAACTTGAGTATAAGAAGTTCCACCTAAACATGAGGAACTTCTTTACTGTGAGAGTGGTAGAGCACTGGAACAGGCTGCCCAGAGAGGTGGTGGAGTCTCCTTCTCTGGAGACATTCAAAAACCACCTGGACAAGATCCTGTGCAACCTGCTCTAGGTAGACCCACTCTGGTGGGGGGGTTGGACTTGATGATCTCCAGAGGTCCCTTCCAACCCCATATGATTCTATGATTCTATAATATGGGGTTATAGCTAATATGTGCGTGCAAAATGGGCTGAAGAAGGTTGTTTCAGTAGCAGGGTCAGTATCTGAGTGCCCGCACCCTGTATGGCTGTTCATGCTGGGGCAGCACTCATGCGTGGATGGGAGGATGATCACACCATTCCAGTTGCTGTGCTCCCCTGGATGCTGCAGCTGTAGCACAGGAGATTCTTACACCTTTCAGGTTCTCCCTGGGGATCTGACTGCAGCCAAAGGCTTGGGAAATATTGGCCTGTTAAACCCAAGGCCCTTACGCAACGTTGCTACTCTCTCCGTGCTGCTTTGTCATAACTTGGCAGGTCCCAACACAGGCCACGCAGAGCCATTGCTTTCCAAAAAAGAGCTATTTATATCCAAACTCCAGCGCCAACCCATTAACCAGGAGCTAGCAGCTCTCCTTGTTGCCCAGCACGTGGCTCAACAAGGGTGGGCGCTTGTCCCTTGGGGCAGGGACAATGCGTGGGGACGATGCTTGGGGGGCTTCAAGTCCTGGAGGGAGCTGGGTCTGGGTGTCTGCAGGGGGCTCAGCAGGAAAGAGCCGCTCGGGCGCAGGAAGAAGGCAAGAGCTCGTTTGGGATCGGAGGGGATGGGGGGCAGCAGAGGGGAAAGAGAAGGCAGCATAAACCAGACCGAGCTAACGCGGGGATTACAGGGTGCCAGGGAAGCTGCTCGCAAACACATCGGGGACAAAGCAGCCTTCCAGAGCGAGGGGTAATGAGTAACTAATGAGGAGAGGGATGAAATTCATAATGACTCAAAAAATGGCCAAGATAATGAACTCCTTCTCTTTAAATCCACCTTTAACAAGAAAACTAAGGGAAAGGATTTAGATCAATTAAGAAGTAAAGAAAAGCAATCTTGTAAAAATAGCTATTGACACAAGCAAGTGGGGGAAGAACAGCTGGAAACTCTGTGCAGAGGCAGAAAGCAGCTGAGGGCTATAGCTGAGGGGGTTTCTGTGGGGGGAAGGTTTGATTCTTAACTGATGGAGAATTGCAGCAAAACCTGCCCACACTCAGCCCTATGTTTGTGCGGCCATCCCCATGCGGGGAGCAGGGGTGCCCTGGGGGAGCTGATCCACTGCTGGACCTGCAGGAGGTGAAATGGAGTGAAAAATACCTCCCCGCTGTCCGTGTGCTGCTGCCGGCGCAGGAGCTGCGTTGCTGGTGGTGCAGGACAGCCCCTGTGTAGCCAGCACACAGCGGCTTCACACTCAGAGATCACCATTTGGGGAGCGATGGCTGGCCAGGTACCAAACCCCAACTCTCAGCTAAACACCTATGG